TGTAGGGAAGCATCTGCGTCGAGTTCTTTTACATGTATCAACTTCTGCTCTAGCATATCTTGCATCGTGTTATCGTCTAGCTTATCTTGAATAAGTGTGTGATCCTGTTGATTCTCATCAACCTGCTCATGCACTTTGTGATCTCCAAGAACTATTGGGCAACTCTCTCCGCAATTGTTGTTTCCACTAGTTGGTTCTTCGTAGGATGTCGTGGGCAGTGATTCTGGTTTGCTTGCAGCAGCAGAGTTTTTATTGTTTAGGTGAACAATTCTAGGACTTCCCTCATTCAATACCATGTCAGCAATTGGATCCAGGTGAGACGGTGGTTCCAAATGATGGATCGATTCAGTTCGCTTCAATTGTGATCTTGCAGGACAGCTTGAACTCCGGTTATGTCGTCCCTTCTTCTTCGATATCTCTCCAGCAATCCGTGCTTTTATTCGGGCCTTGACATTCTTGACTGTAGGAATGGACTGCCTCATCTTTCCTTCATCCTGATAAGTTTCAAACCAAAGGATGCTTTCGTTTATTCACTTATTCAAATGCAACTAAATGCATGCTAACAAAAGTTATTTTGCTCAAACTTACAGTAGAGTTGTCAATCTTAGCATCGTTTTCTTCTTGCATAGAGGCATCTTGCGTAGAGGCATTTGCATCGTTTCCAGGATCTCGAACTCCTGCAGTAAAGCAGACTAAAGTTTTCACCTCCCAGAGCCCGGTCATAATTTCCAGCACCAAGTTTTCACACACTAAATATACATACAGAGCCACTTTACTTACCCGCAGCATGCTTGTTCCAGCGATGCCTCTTGTGCACAAGTCTTTTCTTGACATAATGCCAGTGGTGATACTTCATGATATGAAGTAGGCCCCACACGCACCCTGCTGAATGCTCATTCCCTGATGGATTGTTAGAGTTTTCGTCTCGCAAATTCTTCCCCATGGTTGATAAAATTCACCTCCCAAACCCTACTTTCGCACTGAGACCAATAGCTTCAGCTTCAAGCTTCAAACCTGATCCAAGTTACAAGCATATATGAAGGAATTCCATTGTATATTTTGAATTGGGCACAATAATAGTGAACACTATGTATCAAATACAAAATGCTTGACATCTAGAGAGAGAGAGAGAGAGAGAGAGAGTTTCAGTTCAATGTATTAACAATTCCTCAACACTGAGTGCAATGATGCATATATTTAGCCATCAAAGAGGTCAGGGCCCAAATAAACAACATGTAATGTATTCTATACCCCAAACAACAAATTAAAGCAGCAAAATTCCTTTCAATTGTTTTCATAAGGCATTCCCCCTAATCTGAGTTTGGTTGATGCTCACAGAGGGTAAATGATTACGGGAAACTAAAGATGCATCTAGATTCTAAGTTAGTTTTCAGAAAAATTCAATATTTCCCAGATGATTTTAAGTTTGAAATACATGGAATTCAGGAATGAAAAAAAAAAAAAAAATCCAACCTCTCAGCCTCTTAAAATTGATCCCACAACAAAAATCATAGAAAATAAAGAGAAAAAACAAAAGGGTAAGCAGTAATTATCATTATTAATCATAGTTCATACCATTGAATGAATAATTCAAAACCGTGAGCTAAAACAGAGTCCCCCCAGCCTCATGGCAGCAGCCACCCATATGAACGTTTAGGACAAGAACTGGAGAAGCTTTCGTGTTTGTTTGTCCGTAGGTTGAAAAGCAGATTAGATGAAAAAATAAAGTAAAAATTGG